TGTTTTCCGTGTCATGGCTAGAGAGCAAAGGAAATGTCTATACCACAGTGAATACTGTGCAGTTCAGAAAGGATTTTTTTTTTTTTTTAAGAAAAAAGTTAAATTAGCCTTGACTGTGCTTCTGAATGTGTATGTGAGCCTTTTGCTGTTAAAAATAAATGAGCTTGTGAGATGGTGGAGGGTCTCCAGGGAGGTCTACAAGTATCAGTAATGGCTAGTACTGCTTATATTCTCTTTTGCTAATAACAACAGCATAGAAATAATAACGAATGCTGTGACATTGGGTTTTCTAAAGCTTGTTTTCCAGACACCTGGGGATGTAGAGTACTCTATGATGGACTGGCATTTGACTTGCCTCATTAACTTCCTGATTCTTAAGGGGATCAGATTTTGCTGGCTTAGACTTGAGATCACGTTAGAATCTGATATAGGGGGACATTAGTCATGTTGAGTAGCCATCTGCCCACCATTCCTCTCATGGAAGTGACCCTCTATCCCAGCAGAGCCCAACTCTTTTTAAGTTTTTTGTCTGTCCCCCCCGCTTCCCAGCACTGGCCTTTGTAGACAACTTGGCTGATGTTTGTTTGAGATGAATGCAGGAATGGCTGCTCTGCCAACAATCACAAGTTCAACCATAATTTGCTACTAAATTATGGTAGTAACAAATGTTCAGCGCTTGTTGACAGCGTTTTGAATGTTTAATGTTTCAATTGCCAGACTTCGGAATCTTGTGTCAGTGGCTTTAAAGCTTCCTTTGTTTGCGAGAGCACCAGTTCTAACAATGCTCTCTGAAGAATGGAGATCTCATGTTCTGCTCGTTTTCTGTAGCTGCCCCTATGATAGGCTGTGTCACTAGAAGCTTGGACTGATTCAGTGGAGGGTCAGTGGAGGATGGTCTCATAGCTGGAAGTTCTGGTCACAGTGCTGTTCCACAGAAATAACCATTGCTGAGCATGAAGAAGTTGGCAGTGATGAGTGGGATCGATGTGTGGGATGTTCTAGCTGTGGTGTGCTGGATAAGTGCAGATGGCAGAATAGTCGTACTCGGTCATCTTTCCCAAGGGCCTCTTAGGAGATAGCTGTGATCTGGATTAAGGACTGAGGTAGTTGGTTGCTGTTGACAGGTGGTTGCTGTCTTCTTCAGGAACCCTGTAGTAGAGAAAAGAGTAACTGGTACCGCTGCACAGGTACAGGTTGCAAATATTTGTTCGGGGTCAATTTAAATTTAGACATTATTAATTTGGGCTAAGGGACTATAATCCATTTTGCCTCCTGTTAAATAGGGAATGCTGTAAAGCATTAGAACTGTGCAAAACACTTGTCAAATACGTGGAAGGAAACAAAGCGAGTGGTAGATACATTTTTCCTATAAAAAAAGGTTTGTTAATTCCTCATAGGGGATAATTGCGCTTGGTTGCCTACCAGTAAGCTTCCCCCATATGTAGATGAGTTGTTTGTGAATCATTTGGGTCATCGAGTAATCTCTGTAGGTAAGGAAGGGTATAAAATATATTAGGATTTTGAAGTAAGAGTACCTTTAGCACTTAGGCTTGGTTCTCGAGTTCTGCTTCATAAATTCCACAACTGCTCTGTTTTAGGGAGATTCTAGTCAGTTCATGGGTATAATGTTACTGAAAGTGGCTCATGCTAGTTAAAAGCATTAAAAAAATAGGGGTTTAGCTGTTCTAATGGTAGAATCGAAGTAATTTGTCTAAGGAACACAATGCAAGTGTTTTGGGTTGTGTTTGTATGCTGTATAATGCAGCCTCTTGTCTTGAATTCCTTGTTCCAGTCTGACTTCTTACACTGCTTTAGCATAAGAGGAGGCTTTTTATAGGCTTCCCCCCACCCCTTGCCATGTTAAATAAACCTAAAAATGACTTCTATGGATAGTACTGCAGCTTGATAGTTAACTTTGCATTTATGGCTATTGAAGTTATGTTCAGGATTTCCAATCTTCCTGGACCACCGATGTGTCGGCATGCTCTCTTCCATAATGCAAGACATCTGACATTCTGTGTTGTGATCTGACCTTTAGGAGTGGGCCGTGTCTTTCTCCTTTAGCAGGAGGGTGTGAAAGAAATAAGAATTCATCTTATCCCACATCATGGATATAATGTGCAAATTGGGGAAGTTTATAACCTGAACCTTAAAACTCTAGAGCAGTCCTCATTGGAGAGAGAAGCATGTAAGAAGCCTCTAGCCTAGGCTAAACAAAATCTAATCTGTGCTTTAAGGACACTTAATATTGCTGCTTAACAGAACTGAAGATACATGTTTGATGTAAATGCTTTGAAGAGCCCTAGTAGATCAGTGTAGAGCAGGTACTGCTTAAATAACTTGTGCAGTGCCTTTAAATTGCAAACACAAGTACTACTTAAACTGTACTTACTGTAAAAATTAATTTCCAGCAGAAGATAGTGTGAAAGTTTAGATATACTACCTGTGCTGAAAAACATGTGAATGTGTTAGTGAATAACCCTAGCTTTTAAAATAGTCATTAAATAGTTTACAAGTATCTAACTGTGCATCTTTCTTAATTAATAGGAGGAGAGTAAATTGAACAGACTAAGGCAGACAGAACCACTTTTTCACAAAAAAAAAATTAAAAAAAAAAACTTTTTACTGTAAACGCAAGGGGCAGTGATTGTCATAAAATATTTTATGGAGCATATTTATGTGAAATGCCAGGTGGATGCCAACTTTGTTTCTATGCTGTCACTTAATATGCGCTTCTACAGTGTTGCTTAGTGAAATGTAACTACTCGCATGCACAGACCAAGGAGGTGTTTGTAAAAACCCCCAAACCAAACTCGAGCAACCAGACTTAATACTAGCAACAGCTCTGAAACAATGAATTTTAACTGCTTAGAACTCTTACATTTTTTTTTTTGAAGTTGCATCATCTTAAAATGAGTATTTACTTCAAAAAAAAATCTTAGATAATAACATTTGTTTATTTGTCATGTAGCTGTGGATTTGATTTACAACTAGAGGAAAGATGTTAAATTGTTAATTTCAATTTACCGTGGAATTTAAACATTTTGTGACAAGAAATTAATTTGCTGATGGTTGAGTTGAATAAACTATCTTGAAACCTCTCTCACTAATCTTAATAAAACTTCTGCCTTCTTGTTGAGGTGCTGAACCATGGAGTCTAATTTTAGATGCTCAGATTTGAAAAATTTGCTTAAGCAAATAGCATTCTGTAAAATTAATTCTCATATGCCAGTAGGTTTGTATATGACTTCTGTTTTTAAGGTACTCTTAAGTTCATTGCATTTGTTGGCAAAATAAAATTCATTGTTTATTGTTATCCAGGTGTTTCAAACAGTGTCTTAAATCTGTTTTTTAATGAAACTTAGGCTAAAATGTTACTGCTTAGAGTTCTAATTGGTATCCAACTTTTAACTAAAAATGTGGAAATTTTTTAAACACAGGATCAGAATTGTCTTCTTACAGGTACAGGGTGAACTTACATGTCAAGGTGAATTTGCAAGCTAAATGCACAATTTTTTTTCCACATTATACCTACTCAGAAACTCAAAGTATTGAAAATATTCTTTAAAAATTGAGTAGAAAGTGTTAATATTTGGAACATCAGATTTGTTGTTTGCTGTTTTGATGGATAACAATTTAATTTATAGTGTTCTTGGAGTAATCACTACTAGTAGTCTTAAATCGGGTGTCAGTGATTTTTTTTTTTATTCCTAAAAGCAGTCTGAACGAAATTTATAATTAAAGCGAAGTAACAAATGTAAACAATAAAGCTAACTCTTAGAATCAGTTGATTTGTCAGCAATTTGTTAGCCCCATATTACATCCCTGGAAAGTTTCCCCCAACTTACTTTCTGGAAACTTTCTTCTGATTATACATAACCACAGAATTTTGCGTTCTTTGATATCTTATAGTTAATGTATATTCATTTTTTTTTTTTAAGACGGTATCACAAAAATCCAGGCCTGATTAACTTGAGTGTTAAACTAACCCTATTGTATTGCCTGAGTTAGTGTCTGGCATATGTGGGATGTAATGTTCTTGTTTCCATTGAGCAAAAGACAGCTTTTATTTTAATTGTAAGTATTTGTGGGCAAAAGCAGTAGTTAGCATGTATTTAAAGAAAGAGCTTGAAAAGAAAGAAAGCTTTTTCTTATACTGGCACTGTTGCTCAGCAGGATTTTTCTCTATGCTTGCAGGTTTTGACTGAACTGGGTTTGACAATGTCAGGTTTTGGCAGCACAAGTGACTTGAGTTTCTGTTAGCTTTGCTGCAGCAGTCTGTGGCGTGGATGTGAGAATGGTGCCAATCTTAAGGCAGAGCTGCTGAAGTTTTGAGCTATTGCATTAGTAATGATATCTCTCATTTGAGAGCACAATAAAACCATTGTCTTTTTGCTTTTGTTGCTGTTGCTTGTGTAATGTTCAGGAGGAAGAAGACAGACCTGCGGATGGAGGGGCAAAAAGTAAACTAGAAAAAGATGCTGGGAGGAAACAGGAAATATAGCTTAAAGCAAGACAAAAAGAATCTGAGCTGGGGAGTTTAGCTTGAAGAAGTCTAGTTGTTTGGCAGAAGTTAGAATAGGTCGAAGTTAGAGAGGGGTTGGAGGGAAAGAAAACTGCAACAGAGGGGCCCAAGATTGAGAGATGAAGGGTAGAGGCAAGGGTGAACAAGTTTGGGGAAGCCATTTAGGATTTAAAAAAAAGTCTAATTATGTTTTCATAAATTTGCATAGGAAGGGTCAGAGGGAGTTTGCATGTGCAGTTATACACATTGGTCTCCCCTAAAGCTCAATTATTTGGCTTTGCATGCTGAATCTTATTTTGAGATGAGTTTACACAGCCTTAAGTTGTATGGCAGTACCAAAATGAGTGCGTTTTACAGAGATGGCTCCTGAATTTAAAACTGACTGACTTCTGGTTGTAATGTTAAAAATGACTGTATGATGACAGATTTCCTGAATACTGACTAAATACTTCTTGCTTCTTCTTTCTAGACGGGGCTTGAATCCACCCCACAGAGTGAAGTCAATTTCAATGACTACTTTCACACAACAGGAAATAGAATTTCTGCAGAAACATGGAAATGAAGTAAGTATTACTTGGAGAATATCAAGTGGGTTTGGCACTTTAATATTAAACTTCAAAACACTACTTAAGGAAAACCTTTTTTTTTGTAGCAAAAAGTAGACAGAAGTCTTTTGAAGCCAACATCATCTGAAGTGATGCTTTTAAATAGCTTGTTTCACTTAGGTAGCTAATCATTATAATGTTATTGTCCAACCCAGACAATCTAGATTCATATGATCAATGTTTCTGAACGGGGTTTTCCGTTGCTTTTGTGTAAGGCAATATGCATCTGTCTTTTTTTTTTTTTTTTTCCTGCAAGCTCAGACCTTGAGACTGACTGCGACAGTGTTTCCTGAAAGAGCGTACCATGGCAAAAATAAATTTGTTGCTTGTAGCTGTATTTCTTAAGAGTAGGTGTCAGAAAGTCTTCTAGAGTAGGTTCAATAGCCCTTTTCTTTAATGAAAGTATATCAATGTTGAAGGCTCTTGAAGAGAGGAACGAAAGGGAGAATCTTTTTCCTCTAAGGATTGTTATCTAGTAAGTGTTTATATGTTTAGAGTGACTTGGGGCAGCTTTGAAGACAAAATGTTCTAGTGTACTGTCTTTTTGTTCTTTTTAATAGATGAAAGCTAAATCTGAGGTAAATGTTGGATTGGCTCTGTGGGGACACATGGAGCATGTAAACCCTGGATGTCGCTATTGCTGTTTTCCATTTGAGGATGAAATTTGTATTTTAATACCATACTGTAGCATTGAGGATTTTAGAGGCAGCTTTTGCTCCTGTTCTGAATTAGAAAAAGTTCTATTTTGCTTTGATTGGATCAGTATTCTGTTTTAGTAGAACTATTGATTGTAGGCTACAGAGTCTTATCAACATGTTCTTGTGAACCTTTGTGGGGATAAATCCCATCATTAGCTAAAATGCTGATGCTTAACTTTCTTAAACTTGGCCCATTCATAACTGGCAGGTTGAAGAATGAAAATAGAAGTAGCAATTTCTTTTTCTGTCCTGGAAAATGTATTATTTGCTGAAATGACTGTTAGTGGATGATTGCTCTAGACAGAGCTCAAACAAGGTCGAAACTCTTCCAGACATTATAAAATACACTTAATGGCTTTGACTAGTGGGTTTTTTTATAGTTTTGACATGTTAAAGCTGTATAACATTATACATATATGTACATACAGATATATATATGTATAGCATATTGCTGACTTTTTGCATAGGGAGAATAATAATGAATCTTTTGTGCATTCAGATATAGTATGTTGGAGTCTCTTTCTGTAAGATTAGATTGTAAACTCCAGCTTTGCTTTAAGCTTCACAAGTGTAAAGGAAAGCATGTGTCCCTTTCTCCTTCCCCACATCTGCTTTAATTTGTTTTTCACTGAATCTGCAATGGCTAGTGAATGCTATCAGTTTCATTTTTCACTGATCTGAAACCTTAAGTGATCACTACTCAGTTGATTAGTGTAGTTGTCCTTCTCATTATAGACCTGACTAGTCTGCCGATCGTAATGATTTAGTTGATACATAATTTATTATTGACATAAAAAAAGTTCACGGATCTCTACGGTGCTATACTATGTTTCAAAAGCAGGGGTCTTTGTGTTTGTAGTACTTACTCCTCTAATTAAAGTATTGCAATGATTTCAATGAGCTACCTCATAAATGAAGATGTCCTCCTGAGTTTAGTTTTGGGTTGTTGGATAGCAGTCCATTGCCTTAATTCTAAAGTAACACTGAGTAGCTATTTGTAACTGTAGACAGTTAGACAGTAGATTTAACAGGTGCTCAAATACTGAACAGAAGTGATATTGTTTTAAACACTGTTAGATGTTTAAAACTTCATTAAACATGTTTTCACTTTGTCATGCTGTATGTTGCAGTAGTTAAATAAGCATTTTGCTTTCTCTTGTTGGTATTGGACTTTGGAATACTCACCTGCAGATAAGATAAAGTATTGGGCAGATGAAGTTCAGCTGACCTCACAAAAACCTTCTTTGCTTAGCTTACTCTTCAGCATACGTGGCTCTTGTGTATATATCAAGAAATGAAATTTTCTAGGATAAACTTGTTCAAACATGGAACTGTCCAGCATTTTAGAATGTAGACATGTGAAACAAAGTACAGTCGCTGAATGGTTTAGATGTTGTAATGTTCAGTTGTTTTAGTTCTGCAGCTATATACAGAAGAAAAAACTCAACTTTTTGCAATCTACTATGTTTAACTTCCATTTTTCTGTAGTGTGCAAAATGTTTTCATTCCTACTTTGCCCTCCCAGCCTTTCTCCAACATGCCCAAGGCCTCTGTGGTAGGCTTTCTTGCTTCCATATGAGTAGATCATGGTGTACAATAGGAAACTAATTCTGAATAGAAAGGAAAATAGCAAGAAAGCTTCCCTGAGATACAGTAGTTATTAAGGTGGTGAGTTGTTCTCAGAGGAAGTAGTTTTCCACTCTCCTTCAAGGAGTATAATGTCAATGTATTGTATGAGGTTGAAGTTCTTTAAAAAAAAAAAAAATCCTAATCTCTGAAATAGTAACTTTTCCCCGGTTGTCACAAATTGCCATCTTTGTGGCACACATGGGTAAGCGACTGCTTTGGAAAAGATTATTCAGAGCAGCTTCTCTTCAGGTGTGAGACACCATCTCCTTCCCTGTATATCCACCTCCAAGGGATGTCTTTCTGGCACAGCTAACTTCAACTTTTTTTCAGATGAGTCTTTACTGCTTCAAATACAGATTTAGATCTTCTTACTGTGCTAGAAGACATCTGTATTTTGGTGTTGCTTACTCATCTGCAGGTATAAACAGATGTCCAGACTCTCGTTTTGCTAATGTTGGGGTTAGCTCACTTTTGCAGCAAGAGTGGAGACATCTTCAAGTTGATATTCCTCAAGTCCCTTCTGAAGTCCTCTTGAAGGATAAAGGCAATTCTGACTCACTGGGTAGGATTTTCCCCTTCCTCATTCTCTTCATGAAGAGCAGTGTGAGGTATTTTCACACTGCATTTTCATGTTAGGAATAATGAGGAGAGAGTGGTATGGAGATGGTTCTATTTGAATGCTCATAATCAAATGATGCTAACATTGATTAGGCCTCTGATTCAGTAGTGCAATGATAGTAGAAAGTGAACTCGTGGCAGAAAGTGGAGGTGGTACTCATCTCATGTTGCCATTATAGCTGTGAGTATTCAGAAGCTTTCCCCTGAAGCTGAAAAATAGTATTACAAGGCAGACCAGTTACATAGTTAATTTTTCTACTACACTTTCAAAAAGTGCCATATATTTTATAACATTCCCAAATAGCCTATTCTAATATGCATATGGTGGAAGAAAATGATTTGGATGATCTTGTGTTTGGAAAACGTGTTCATCTGGGGGCAAAGATCATGTTTACCTGAGTTAACGAGTAGAATGCTTTGTGGGTATGCTCAACTGCTTGGGATTAGCTTATCAGTGCTTAATTTTAGTTTTGTGCCAGTCTTCCTGACTCTTGGTAGCACTTGCACAAGTGTTTCTTACCAGTTTCCCATACTCTAGATTCCCGGAGAACCTACAGTTGCAGAACTAGTAGTGGTATGGGGCTGGTTCAGAGCTGGTGTTTGGCCTGACCAAAATGCTTTCCTAGAATCTCCTTTACTGTGGAATGTGGCCTAGAAACCCTGGAGTGGAAAGAGCAGTACTAAGCTGGAGCTGATGAGTCCTGACAGCATGAGCTGCGCAGTCAGGTGTCCTTGTAGTACATCCCTGGTTCTGCTAATACGATATAGAGATACATGAGCTGATTGTGTGTAGAACAATGTCTTTGTTAGTAGGATTTACTAGCTTGGGACTCTGTGCTTATGAAAGCAGCTATAGCTTCTGGACCCAAACTGGCTTTGAAAGGAGTATACTGGCAGTATAAAATTCTTTTAACCTACAGAGATTAATGAATAATATTGACATCAGAAGTGCTGAATTACTAAACAAAGCTATAACTTGCTTACATAAGGGAACTGTTTCCAAATCTTTCTTCCTGTGGTGAGTGTTATGTTTTGGAACATAGTTTTGTTGTGTGGTAATCTGTAGTTCTTTGCACTGTCGGCGTTATGTTTGGTGCATAACTGAGGATATTTTATTGGGGGGGAGGGGGAGAAAAAGAAATCTAACTTCGCATTTACCAGACTCTTGAAAGGTAATATCTCATTAGAGCCTTTTAAACTAGACTGACATGTGTAATCTTCCTATGCAATGGCATGTCTGGGTCTAAACAAGAAGTGCTCTATTGCTGTAGGTCTAGTAGTGTGCTTTTCTAGTTGAAGTGCAGCTTCTACCAGCAGAAGTACTTGTCCTATTATCGCTTTTCCTTGCCATGCTGCCTTCACTGCATAGAAGACAAGGCGGCTTCATAAGCAAAAACTTAATTTTGCTGGCCTAACTGAATTTTTATTATTCCTAGCTAGCACAACTGTGCTAACAGGAGTTTCTAAAATGTGGTGGCTCGATGTGTTGTGTAAGCAGAAGGCCTTTGTCTCTCCCATATCCGCCTTCCCACACACACTGGAGATCTGTATCAGTGAAATAGTTATGACATGGTAAAGTGTTGTTTGGTAGTTGAAATATGTAGCACTGGAATAGAAATTAGTGAAATCTCAGATTGTCTCAGGCTTTCTGCAAAATTTGATGGATACTGCCAAGTTGTGTTTTTTTTTTCCTTTATTAGCAGTTTTTTAGTGTGCCTGTCCCTCCCCACCTTCCCAACTCTGTAAAAACACACACACATGCACACAAAAAAAAACCCCAAACCAAATATGACAACAAACCTAGAAGCAAAACCAAAAGCTAAACATTTGTGGAAAACAGGTACATTTGTGTTCCTCTTAGCCTTTGAGCCCTGCCTGGAACTCCTGAAAGCATGAAATGTTACTATGAGGCTGGGCTTTAAAATAGAAGCCTTTCTGGTCAACTTTGTTCTGTGGAGTACCAGATGTGCAATGAATGGGATGAGTTCTTTGTTCCTTTGCGTTAAAGCTCAA